TGAATATTTGAATGAAAAACTATCGTGTTTCGAGAGAGTAACTCTTTCTTTGAGTATCGAGAGAGTATCTCGCATATCTCGTCCCACTCGTACGCTTCCCTACATCAGTTGGTATCAGACGTCAGCCACGGTCGGACGATGCCGCCCACGAGAGAAAACAACGTGACCGCCATTGCAGATCGATTCCAGAGGATGGATGATCTGGATGAACGATGCACGGATTTCTCTACCGGTATCGACCAATTACGCCAGACAATTAATACCATGATGGAGGAGATTCACACGAACCGTGACGTGGCTTTGGGCCGTGGCACTCGCGGGGAAGGCAGAGGCGGACGTGGAGCACTCGGCCATGTTGGGGCGCCCCGACGGCGGTCTTTGCCGCCTCTGAACGGCAGCAACGATGACGTTTCCACTTGGTCGGTCAATCCTTTTGGCGACCGTCAACCGAGACGTGATGATGGTTACGTACATGTTCAATGTCGCAACAAACCTCGCAGCAACATCCCCGTCGCTCGTGAGGAAGAACAGGCCATAGGCGGGGACCGGCGATCAGACGCCGGATTTGCGCTGGGCGGTGACGAAAAGGAGGGCGACACTCTAGAGGCGCCCCATTTTCATGAACGGCGGCTGACTGGGGTCGATTTGGAGACGCGCTATGACCGCAAGGACCGGCGTCCAGCCGTTGACTTCGGTGATGGCGGTTATCGCGGCTGTTGGCCCCGCGACCTGCGAAGTACTGTTGTCGACTTAGGCGTTTCGAAGGGTCGCGCACCTTTTTGGGGCTACAGGTTTGATGCTTCGTGGCCGCGCGTTTCCAAGAGCCCGGCGGCAGCTTTTGAGGGGTTTTCTGGCGGCTTTCGGGCTCGCAATCTGAGGAGAGCAGACGATGGTCGACGCGATGCCCTAGGCCGCGACGGTCTTCGAGGCGACGATGGCGCGTTCCGGCGAGGGACTGCCGGCGGGGAGGATTTTCGCGGATGGCAGCACGATGGCCGGGCAGATGGCAATTTGAAAGGGGGTGCAGCTTTTGTTGATGATCGGCGATTTCTTAATTTGGAAGATGGGCGGCGTAGTGCGAATTTTGGTATTGGCCAGAGTTTTGAAGATTTCCGCCGCTCACTGTACGCAGATCGTCAATTGGGTTCTTTTTTAGCTACAGATAATGAACCTGATCTTCTTTGGGCGGATGACTTTACTAATGTTGCAAGGCGGGCCCATTGCTGCAATAATGCGCCTGATTTTCATGGCCCAATTCATGATTTTGGTGCGGCCCATTTTCGTAAATATGGAACTGATGATGTTGTTGATATTAGATGGGAGTCGACTTTTCGTGTTGAAACTCGGAAATTTATTGGTGGGTCTGGCCAAATTTTTTAGCCTTATAAAGAGTTAGAATTTGTGCCCTTCTACGATGGTCCGCCCGTTTTTTATGAAGAGCCTCCGGTGCCAGAGACACATAAGGTCAACACTTTGAGCTCCACGTGGGACATCGCCACGGTTGACATTTCTCCCCAACAACCGTCATTTGGACTCAATTTTCGGGACATCTTAGCCAAAGATGGATTTTTGGGGTCGAAGCCGAGGCTCAATGACTGGGGTACCATTTTGTCTCTAGACCACTCTCCAAACACCGGGATGCTTGGCTGCAGTTATGGTTTGGAGCTCGGTGAACGTTGTGAGTTGATTGGTGTTCCTTCCGCTGTGTGTGTTGTGCGTGGAGTGATTTGTACGCGTGCCTTTACAGCTGTTCGGTCCTTGCTCAAGCTTATGTTTCCATTCGGTGTTGTTAGGCGTTCTTCAAGTTTCGTGTTTGATCGAGGACGAAACGGGTCACACTTCTCCTACGGGAACGGGTCGGATTCGAGGCCGAATCCTGCTCCACCGGGAGAGAATGATGGAGATTATATATGATTAAATTAATGTTATTATTACAGTTCAAAAATAAACCCGTTTCAGTTAGAAAATCCAATTCTCGGACTTCTCTTTCTCTCTTCGATGCCGTCTGCGGAAGATCGGTTGCTGTCAGTGAACTTCTTTTGAACTATTATTATTATTATTATTATTATTATTATTATTATTATTATTATTATTAATATTATTATTATTAGGCAAAATTGCATATAAAAGCACCATCTTTTATGTTTTTGCAATTTAATCACCACCTTTGTAATTTAGCAATTTAATACACAACTTTACTTATTTCTTGCAATTCGAATCACAGGGCCCAATTTCGGGCCTGTTCTTGTGACGTGGCATTTTGTGGTGACGTGGCGTTTCCACGTGTCAATGACGGGGCATCTTTGGGCTGACGTGGCAGTCTATGTCAATTAAGAAAAAAAATTATATATATTTTGTAGAAAGGGGGGTTTGAACCCTGGTCTCCATGGGAGAAAAGTAACTATGCTACCAACTCACCTATCCATGTTAGTTAACATATTCAATAACAATTTATATATATAGGAATTACGTATGAATAAATTATATTAAAATATAAAATTAATTATAATAAATTAATTAAATATAAAATTATAATAAATTAAATTAAATTAAATGAAAATAAAATAAATGAAGATAATTAAAATATAGAATTTTATTAATTCATATTTTGTGTTAGAATAAACCATATTAATAATATTTAATAAATAAGATTTTCATTATTTATTATTTAATAATCAGTTATTTTGTTTATTATTTTATTTTATTTTATTTGAATTCACCTTTTTTATACTTTATCATCTTATGTTATATTATTTTTATTATATTTTAATAAATATAACTTATTATGAAATAATAAATAAAAATAAATAAAAATCTTAAATAAATATAATAAATTAAAAATATAATTTAAGTAAATAAAATGTTAAATAATCGTAATGAATAATAAAACAAAAAGTGTTATTTTATATAAAATAATAATATATTAAAAAACTTAAATGAAATAATAATTTATTATATAATAATAAGTTATTATATTTATTATAAATTTATTTTAAATAAATAAATAAAAATATTAAATGAATATAATATTATTAATATGATTCACTCTAACACAAAATATGAATTCGAAAAAATATATTTTAATTATCTTAATATATTATTTTTAATTCAATTTTATATAATTTTATTTAATATAATTAAATTATTTTTTTAGATTTAATTTGATTTCTCCATACGTAATGTAATGTGTATATATATAAAGGGTTATCACATTTAACAACTAAGTTGGACTGGTGTGGTGGTAGCTAAGGCTACCCTTCAACCCCTTCAACCTAGGTTTGAATCTCAGAGCGTGCAACATAATTTTTTTTTTTAATTGACAGATGGGTCGCCATGTCAGCCCAAAAATGTCACGTCATTGACACGTGGAAACACCACGTCATCACAAAAACGCCATATCAGCAGAACGGGCCTCCACGTCACCAGAACAGGCCCAAAATTGGGCCCTGTGATTCGAATTGCAAAAAATAACTAAAGTGGTGTATTAAATTGCTAAATTGCAAAGGTGGTGATTAAATTGCAAAAACATGAAAGGTGGTGCTTTTATATGCAATTTAGCCTTATTATTATTATTATTATTATTATTATTATTATTATTATTATTATTAGTATATTTATTAAGTAATGGTTATCTTAGGGAATAAGCTAAGTTTAGGTAGAAATTCTATGGTGCCACACGTGACACCATATTATGGTGCCACAACATGATGTGGCACATTATGATTGGTGCCACACATGATGTGTGATAGTTGTGGTACCAATCATAATTTGCCACATCATGTTGTGGCACCATAATATGGTGCCACATGTGGCACCATAGAATTTCTGAAATTTAGGGTTATAACTTTATTTAAAGGGCAGTTGTGATTTGTTATTAGGGGGTGAATACTTGAATGAAAAACTATCGTGTTTCTTTGAGAGAGTATCTCATTCTTTGAGTATCGAGAGAGTATCTCGCATATCTCGTCTCACTCGTACGCTTCCCTACATCAATATTTGATTCATGGAAACATTCTTTTGTTTTTTACACATTTTATCAAATAATAAAAAATTCCAATGTTCCACTTTGGTAGGTACGAATTTTGCCATAAAATGACTGCATTTAGTGAAGGATAAAAGTTCAAAATTTTACACGTGCAGCCCGGTTTTTTGTGTTCATGACTTCATTCGTTTGATTTATTGGCAACCAACTAAAAATATCTAAATACATCCATATCAAAGAATAATTCTACACTTTCAAATTCATTGCTCTAATTATTTGACCATTCAAAATTTTCCACTCTTACATACCAAAACATTTGTTGGCCTCACCACAAAAAAAAAAA